GGTGTAGGTTATTATAAAGTGGGCCCGCCCGACTTTAAGGCTTTCTTTACTGGTTTTTGTAATAAATTTTTTCTACACATTTTATTAAATATATTTTAATTCCAAAACAATATGGCAATTTAGCTTTTAGGAAAAAATATTTCGCTTTCCCCCAAAACATATCAAAATTATTTCAATGGAAAAGTTCTTTATTCCCATTGAAATTCTCTGTGATATCAAAATAACAACAATGCGATGGGTATTTGTGATTGTGTTGAACAATGTCCACACCCTTGCACATTTCTACAACATACCTGTACTACTGTTTCAATATACCAAAATAAACTGAACAATTTTATTGGTATTTCTTTTTTTTTTTTTTTTTTTTTTTTCAAAACTTTTGTCCTTTTTATTATCGCTCTCTCACTCCCGATGCAGGAGAGGTAAAAATGCAAATATTTGTTATGAACTCAAGTCCAGACAATAAAAGATAAAAATCTCCATATGTTTGTAAGGAAAACACATATTTTTGTTGTTGTTTTAATATGTTTTTTTTCTCGTTCAACATATTTGTGTTAGAATAATAAAAGATGTATGGGATTTTAAATATTAATATTTTCTAATTCTAAAGTTATTTAAACAATAGGGTGTTGCATGCATTGGATTGTCTGTCGAAAGAAATTCAGATGTTGACGATGATGAGACAATCGACAATTGTTTTGTTTAATTGTTAAAAAATGCTCTTCATGGCTTTTTAAATAGATAACAAGTACTGAAATGCAGAGAAGGGAAATATCTTCAAAAGAAACTGAGTTGGTTGAAATTGAGGATGAATGTTTAGAAACTTCAAAAATAGGGATGTATAGGAAACACTAGACCCATATAGAAAATTTTTTGCCAGAAAATCTGAGAGTTGAAAATTTTGGTTGAACCTTAAAAATACCAACAATCGCAACAGAAAAGATGAGCCGAACAATTCTTTGAAAAAACAATTATTATATCAACTTTTACGCGAAATTTCAGAGCTCTACATAAAAATATATGTGGACTCAGTCAACAAACAGAGGGGCATCGTTAAATCAATTTTGAATTTAAGGGCGGTTAATAATGAAATATGATTTTATTAACTTTTCAGGAGTCTTCCCAATAAAATCAACTAGTTAATTTTCAATATCAGACCCTCCAAGAAAACGATGAACGATCTGACCCTGTTACATACCGGGTGAGATGAAAAAACTGCAACCAACTTCGGACTACTGTCATTTCTAAGCCAGTCGTCCAATAGCTGTTAAAATTATTCTAGTGATAGCTCATTATATTGTTGACAAGCGTACAATAGCATTTTGGTGAGAATTTTCCAGAAAAAAAGTTATTCGTGATGGAATTCATGCGCGATAGTGTGACTTCTTTATATTTGGCTGAAAAACCACAAGTGGCTATCGTTGGAGCACCCCAGCATTTAAATGTGAATAAATCTTCTGTGTCTCGTTCCATCGCTTGTTACTGTGATACTGGTAGCCCGACGTCTAGGAAGTGAACGGAAGAAAACAGCAACATCAGCAGAAATGGTACGAAAAATAAAGAAGCGACTTGATAGAAACCCGCGTCACAGTGGCAGAAAAATGGCTCGTGAGCTGAACTTTTCGCAATATTCCATTTGGCAAGTAAAGCCATTGAAATTCCAAAAAGTGCAAGAACTTACACTGCAGCGGAAAGAAAATAGACTCAAAGAGCTAAAGAGTTGCTTCGCTTGGCCGAATTTGGTTTTCTCCGATTAGAAAACATTCGTTGTCCAGCAGTTTGTAAACAAACAAAATGATCGTTTTTACCTGCCAAAGAGGTTATCTGAAAATGTGCACCTTCGGTTGGCCACCAGAACTCAAGCGCCGGCTATGGTGATGGTGTGGGCCGCCATAACAGCCGATGGTCGCTCTAAGCTCGTATTAATCGACCGTGGCATCAGAATAAATTCCGAATATTATAGCGAAAATATTCTTCAGTGTGTATTAAAGCCTTGGGCACGCAAACATTTTGGCCACAGACCTTGGACATTTCAACAGGACTCAGCACCATCGCACTCAGCACGCGCCACCCAAGAATGGTTACAAACTGAGGTTCCTCGCTTCATTTCCAGCGCACAATGTCCACCAAAATCTCCAGATACCAATCCGTTGGACTATTGTGTCTGGAGTATTTTGGAACGCAAGGTTGGCATTAAAAAAATACCAATGTGTCGGTCACCTCTAGCCGGGAATGGGCCAAAATACCGCAGAACAACATTTGGGCATCGCGTGACGGTTTCATTGACCGTGACCAATTCGAGCAACTCTAAAGATATTCTAAAATTTAATGCTATTTCCGACATTTTCTGCTTTCATTTAATAAGATTCAAAAAAAAAAAAAAAAAAAAATTAAATAAAAATGACGGCGTTTGACTTTGTTGCAGTTTTTTATCTTACCCTGTAAATACCAGAGGGACCTCAATATCAAATTTGAGGATTTCAGACCTATGCAGTCACCCAATAGCAAATTTAGTAGCATTTAGTACTTTTCTATATCGCAACTTTATATACCAACATTGACCTTAATATTAATTTTAGGATTTCACCTTTTTAATTTTCCCCGTTTCAAAATTTAGTAACATTTAGAACAATTATATTACGAATATCCGCATCTATATCTATTTTCAGGATTTCAGTTCTATTCCCTCAGCCAGTATTAAATTTAGTTCCACTAATTTCTTTTCGTACAATTATACTACGCATTTTCAAAACCACCTCCATGCCTCAATTGCAGATACCAAGAGAACTCTCAATATGAAATTTGAGGATTCCAGCTCTAAATATTCACCCAATACAAGATTTAGTACCATTTAGTATTTTTCATACAATTATAGATCAGATTTCCGAAAGCACCTCCATAAGTCAATGCTACACATGATCAGGAAACCTAAAACAAAATTTCAAATTACAAGCTCTATCTGTCACCCAATATTTAGTTGTAGCAAATATAATACCATTGAGTACTTTTAAAAATATTATTGGACACATTTTCACATACACCTTCAAACTTCCATATCACATTTTAGGATTTTAGCCATTCGCCCAATACCAAATTTAGCACTATTTAGTTCTTTTTCTACAATTATAGATAACATTTCAGTATGGCAAGAACACATGAGCAGCGACTCTAATACCAAATTTAAGATTTCAAGCACTATCTGTTAGCCCAATAACAAATTGACCCAAATTTAGTATAATTTGGTACTTTTCGTACAATTATATTACACATCTGAAAACCACCTCCATACTTAAATTCCAGATACCAACAGAGACATCAATATTAAATTCCATACACATTTTCAAAACCATCTCCATATGTAGAGGCTACATATGAACAACGACCCTTATACCAAATTTGAAACGGCAAGCAATTTTTGTTCACAGAATAGGGGCAAATATTATACTATTTACTACTTTTCGTACAATCATAGTATATATTTCGAAAACCACCTCTTCATCACAAACCTTCCACAAACAGGGACATAAATAGCAACATTTCAATCTACCAGCTCCTCTCGCTCACCCAAATTGGAATTTTACCAAATTGAATATCATTTAGTACAGTTCTTACACGTAGTACTAATTTCCAAAAAAAAAGTTATATCAACACAATTTCAAACAATTGATTTTCATACCAAATTTCAAGATTTTACCACAATCCGTCCACACAAAATTCCAAATTGTACCAAATTTAGTGCATTTTAGTACTTTGCTACACTTTATGTCAGAATTCCTTAAAACCCTTTAGTTTGTCTGCCCTGCACAACATCAACTTTCCAGATTTCAGATTTCCAGCTCTATTCCTTCCCCAAAGTATATACAACTACGACACATATGAAGTTTTTAGTACGTTATTCCAAATCCTCCGCCATGTATCAACCAAACAAAAGGTGATCCTAATACTAAATTTTAGACTTCCAACTCAATCCTCTATCCAAATACCAAATTTATTACCATTAAGTACTTTTTAATACTTATTTCTAAAGCCCCCTGTAAATCTCAACCCTAAATACTGGCAGTGATCCTAATTCCATATTTGAGATTTCAAGCTAAATACGTTAACACAATACCAAATATAGAATCATTTAGTATTTTTCGTACGTTTGCTGAACACACTTTCAAAGCCAATTCTTGATCTTAACTCTACCCACCAACAGCTATAATAATACCAACATTTTTAAATTTATTGATCAATTCGTTTAACCATAACCGAATTTACCGAATTTAATATAATTTAGTAGTTACTAATTTCCAAAACCATCTGTACTTATTAAACCTACGAGCAACAGGTACCTCAATAAAATTTTTCAAAACTCCAGCTTCATCCACTCACCCTAAACTAAACTTTTCCAAATTTAGTACCATTTGGCTCATTCGCATTGCAACATATTTTCAAAACCAACTTCACGTATCGTAATTAATTTTCAACCAAATGTTAAGTTAGCTGTTAGCTTTTCATCTATCATGCACTCCATCAGTGACTCTAATTCAAAATTTCATAATTCTAGCTCATTCCGTTTGTCCAATAAAAAGTGTTCATTTTTTATTAAAGTTCCGTACTTTTCGTACTCTTTTTAGTACTAATTTCCAAACACCGAGCCCAAGGCCAAGACTGAACCTCGTGCAAAATTTCAAGATTCTAGCTTCAGCCGTTTCGTCTTTAGCTCATTTTTTGCTTAATGGGTAAGTTAATAAGCAGAATATTAAATTTTTGAGTGAAGATCTCCGAGAAGCATTGCAATATCTACCAATGTATCTAGAAAAAAATCACAGTTTGGTTATCATACCTTCCCATACATGTGGGGCCACTTTGGTTTCTTGAAAATCGACTAGCCCCTTACATAGAATTTGACTAAATTTTTCAATAAAATTGATTCCCGATTGTCGGCTCCCCAAGTATAAGATAATCGTCATTGAGGAGTGGTCTATTAATTTTTTCTATTTTTTAAATTCACTTACCTTACAGGTATAGATGCCCTCATCCAACCGAGTGGCTTTCGAAATACCCAAAATGGCAGTGAAGACATCTTTGGATTCCGGTGGCAAAACGGTTGTCCAGATTTCTCTGCAAAATATATAAAAATACTTATGATTTCAAATATATTTACAAAATTCAATTTTAATAATAAATTCATTTTCTTGGTTTTCCCATTTCCCATTATTTAACGTTCTCACACATTATCAACAACAATGTATAATAACTATATAAAAGAGAAAACCAAAAAGAAAAAAATGTTTTCACACACATACTTATTTTGTTGCCGTCTAGTAATTAGTAATATTAACAAGTTGATGCAAACACATCATTATCGTCCGGCAAGCAAGCAACCGAACCATGGATTGGCATTAACCACAGTCGTGGCACAATGTACCCCGCCACGCCACACACCTAACATGCCATGCCATGCCATCAGGCCAACCCACTCGTTTAGCGGCGATAATGGACTCATGCACTTGAACTTTTCTGCAAGTGTTACAGTTTCATTTTCTATTTTGTTGGTCGGTTGTGTAGCTGGTTGGTGGCTAGCTGTTATTTGTTGTTGTTGGTGAAAAAAAGCTCAACAAAAAGCCACATTATTAAACATTTTTCACAAAGCATCATTAATTTTCACACGAGAATATAAATGAGAGCAGATGTACACATTTGTATAGGTGTGTGTGTGTGTGCGTGTATGTGAGCATGTTGTCGAAAAGATTTGCGCTAGTGTTAACTTTTTAGCACAAAATGAACACAGGCAGATACTGGTTAATAGAAAAAAGGTACAGTGGCTCAAGAAACTAAAATATATATTTTAATTTCATTTCTCTTTCGCCATTGGTAAAAGGGAAATAAAAGAAATCACATTATATTCGCCTTAACCAGGCAAAAATTCCAAAATTTACCTTTTCTTTTGAAAATTTTGCCTTATTAACCCATTTCGTTCCGAAATCTAATTTTTATACCCTAAGGTTATTATGTCTTTATGCATTTATTTGTAACATGGAGAAGAAAGCGAGATATACCCCTAGTTACTTTTGAGGATCTTAATAGAATCACTTTCTGAGTCGATTTATGCATGTCAGTCCGTCTCTCCATGTATTCTTGTGAACAAAATGCAGGTCAAATTTATTATCCGATTAATATGAAATTTTCCAAACAATATTTGTTTGGCCCATGGACGAATCGCAAAGAAATTGGTGAGAATCGATTTAAACTTAGATATATATATTTTTATCCGATTTCGGGTTAATGGTACATCAAATGGTCAATATCAGTCCAAATGACCTGACATTTGGCACTTCCGACGGAAATCAACATAGCTTGCTTCTATCATCAAATTTGGAAAAAAAAAAATCGGTTCAGATATAAATATAGCTCCCATATATATCAGATACAGCCCAGAAATATCTCTGTCAATTTTTATCAAGATCGGATCTGATTTAAATAGACCTCCCATATGTACAGGGTGAGATAAAAAAAAACTTCAACAAAGTCAAACGCTATAATTTTTACCTTTTTTTTAAAGTTTATAGAATGAATACAAAAAATGTCGGAAATAGCATCAAATTTTAAAATAAGTTTAGATTGTTCGAAATGGTCACCTTTGGCACGACTTATGGCCTTCAAACGGCCAATGAAACCTTCACACGCTGCTCGAATGTTGCTCTGCGGTATTTTGGCCCATTCCCGGCGAAGTGCTTGTTTGTGGTACTAGACACTTTGGTATTTTTTAGTGCCAACCTTGCTTTCCAAAATACTCCAGACACAATAGTCCAACGGATTGGTATCCGGAGATTTTGGTGGCCATTGTGCGCTGGAAATGAAGCGAGGAACCTCATTTTGTAACCATTCTTGGGTGGCGCGTGTGGAGTCCTCTTGGAATGTCCAAGGTCTGCGGCCAAAATGTTTACGTGCCCAAGGCTTTAATACACCCTCCACAATATGTTCGCTATAATATTCGGCATTTATTCTGATGCCACGGTCGATTAATACGAGCGGAAAGCGACTATTGGCTGTTATGGCGGCCCACACCATCATCATGGCCGGCGCTAGAGTTCTGGTGGCCAACCAAAGGTACACATTTTCAGCTGACCTCTTTGGCAAATAAACACGATCATTTTGTTGGTTTACAAACTGCTGGAAAACGAATGTTTTCTCATCGGAGAAAACAAAATACGGCAGTTCATCACTTTCGGCCAAGCGAGGCGAATCTTTAGCTCTATTGAGTCTATTTTCTATCTGTTGCGGTGTAAGTTCTTGCACTGTTTGGAATTTCAATGGCTTTACCTCGAGCTCATTTTTCAATATTTGCTGAATTGAATATTGCAATATGTTCAGCTCACGAGCACTGCGAAGCGGGTTTCGATCAAGTTGCTTCTTTACTTTTCGAACCATTACTGCTGATGTTGCTGTTTTCTTCCGTCCACTTCCTTGATGTCGGGCTGCGCTACCAGTATCACGGCAACGAGCGATGGTACGAGACACAAAAGATTTATTCACTTTAAATGCTGGAGTGCTCTAACAATAGCCACTTGTGCTTTTCCAGCCAAATATAAAGAAATCACACTATCACGCTTGAGCTCCATCACGAATAACCTGTTTTCTGGAAAATTCTCACCAAAATGCTTTTGTACGCTTGTAAACAATATAATGAGCTGTCACTGGAATAATTTTAACAGCTGCCGGACGGGTGGCTTAGAAATGACAGCAGTCTGAAGTTGATTGCAGTTTTTTCATCTCACCCTGTATGTTTCATCCGATTTGGATTTTAAGTACCTCACAATCGTAATATTCACTCCACAGGAATGATATTTTGTACCAGTTATCAGATAGAGCCCAGAAATACCTTTGCCAAATTTTATCAAGATCGATTCAGATTTGGATATTGCTCCCACCTACATATTTTTATTCCATTTCAGGTTTATTGTGCACCAAATGGCAAATACCAGCCCAAATAGACTGAATTTTTGGCACTTCCGACGGAATTCAGCCCAGAAGCAAGCACTTCAAATCTTGATGAAAATCATTTCAGATATAGCTATAGCTCCCATATGAATGCTTCATCCGACTTGGCCTTTAAGTCCCTCACATTCGTAATATGCACCCCACAAGAATGATATTTGGTACCAGTTATCAGATAGAGTCCAAAAATACCTTTGCCAAATGTTATCGAGATCGGTTCAGAATTGTACATACCTTCGATATACATCTTCATCCGATGTTACGGCTATTATCCATCACATATATCTTTCAACCAAATGTTTTCATTTGGTGAAGTTTCCTAACTGTTTTTTCCTTTAAAAACATATTTTGCAACTTCCAAGACCTACTTCTATTCAATCCGATTCACTAGCATCACATAATGAGAATTCTTTCATTCAATTATACGCCTTTAAAATTCTTTCTCTCGTGGGCATTTTACATCTCAAACCTGTTTTTAATTTAATATTTCATCTCCTGAGTGCCACTGTATTTAGAATGTCTATCAGGTCCTGTTCTCAGAATTGTGTGAAGCAGAAAAAACGAAAAAAAAAACTGCTGGCAATGAATTAGAGCACAACAGCTCTAATATACTGCTCTCCATTGATGCTTGCCATCCCATTGTGTCCTTCCACTTTCCCCCTATTCCCCGCATCGGTAATCAATGGTTTTGCATGACATGACCAGTAGAAGTGGTGTTCGCATTGGATATTTTTGGGTAATACGGGAATATGAGATAATTATTGCTGTTCTGTTCTCGTCCATTCAATATTGTTGGCTAAATAAAACAATGATTGAATGCTTGAATAAAAGTCGAGTAAATAAACGAGAATATAAATTTGTGAAACGTTTTCGGTTAATGTGAAAACTATCTTTTTGTGGTGTTTTAATTTGTCTATGGGTAATGGGTGTGATGGGGAATGGAATAGAAAAAAGGTGATTTTGTGGACAAAAAATTGAAAAGTCCTAAGAGGCATAAACAAGTTTTAAACAAATCCGTCAGAGTGCTGATAGAAGGCGATTACAAATTACCCATAACCTTTCGCTTTATAAGTGACACAGGATTTTTTAATTGTTACCATTTTGTCACGGATTGACAACAACAGGGATTGATTGATTGACGGATTGACACCATAGTATGGAGGGTATATTGAGTTTGTCATTCCGTTTGTAACACATCGAAATATACATTTTAGACCCCACAAAGTATATATATTCTTGATCAGCATAAAATTCTATGTCGGTTTAGCGGTGTCCGTCTGTCTGTGGAAATCACTCTAGTTTCGAACGAATTGAATAGATCGATAAATTTTTACCCAAAAGTATGCTATGTCTACAGGACTTTTGGTATTGAAAATGGGACATTCGGTATTTTGATGATTTTAGCGACATTATTCACCGGAAATGTTTCGAATTTGGTATTTGAAGTTAGTAACGGATACTACAGCCTATGACAGAAAATTGTCTGTGCAGGTCCACGTCTTCGTATAGCCCCCATATATAACGGTACCTCCCGATGTTCGGTATTTTGTTGATTTTAGCAACCTTTTTGACTGGAATTGTTTCAAATTTGGTATCTGAAGTTTGTAATGAATACTACAGCCTAAGACGAAAAATTGTCTATGCAGGCCCACAGAATTTTTAACGGATTTTATTGTTTTTGAGAATTGCCAAATTGAGGATTACTAGGAACAAAAAGTACTAAAATGTATTAAAAATATTAAAATTTAATACTTTGACAAAGGGAATGGGCTAGAATTCCGAAATTTGGAACGAGATTCTCTGATGGAGTGCAGAGTAGACCAAAATTATTTTTTTTTAATTTTGAACTTTAAGGTCACAAAAAGATCTAAAATAATACTCAACTTCAACAAATGAATGGTGCCATTTGGTATTATCGGATAGAACTAAAAACTTGAAACTTGGTTTGAGAATCAAAGTTGAAAAGTGAGTTTAGGTATATGAAGGCGGATTTGGAAATGTGTAATAATTGTGCAAACTGTACTAAATTGTACGAAATAGTACTAAATTTTGGGTGAATGGAAGAGGCAGAAAATTTGAAATTTTGTATTGGGGTCCCGGTTTATGGTAGAATTGTGATAAAG